CCTTTTCTCGCTCTCTTTTTTAAAAAAATTAATTTTATTGGTATGTTTAACGTATACAATATAATGACATTCATTGTTGGAAATTTACATGTTTATGTTATCAGTCTTGGTTCTTATTTTTTCCCCATCCCATTGCCCTCCCTTTAACCCCTCTACCCCTCCCTATCTACAAAGACTTTGTTTCCATTTTTTAATGTTCTCATATTAATTCAATTCCCATCTTTCCTTTCCCCTGCGTTGCCCATGTCCCCTTCCCCTTTGTCCCTTTTCTTCCTATTTCACATTCTCTATTATACTTTTTGTTTACACTTTCAGTTTCTCACGCTAGAGAAACTATTCAATATTTAACATGTGTGTCCTATTCATTTTACTTGAGTATGTCCTCAATGTACATCCATTTAGTTGCAAATGTCTCTAATGTCTCATTTTTATGGCTGAGTAGTACTCCATTTTATTAAAAAAATAAACTATGTTTTCTTTGTCCAGTCTCTGTTGATGGGCATTTGGGCTGTTTCCAAGTTTTAGTTATTAATTTTGCTGCTATGAATATGGGTGCACACATATCACTTTGGTATGATTCTTTTAAAATTCTTTGGGAAAGATACCTAGCAGAGGAATAGCTGGGTAAAATGGGACCTCTAATCCTAGTTCTTTGAGGTATTTCCATACAGATTTTCACAGTGGTTGCACCAGTCTACACTCCCAACAACAATGGAGCACTGTTCCTCTTTCCCCACAGCCCCACCAGCATTTGTTATTGGCCGATTTCTTGATAGCAGCCATTGACTTTTTGGTGTAAGGTCGAATCTCAGTGTTGTTTTCATCTGCTTCTCTCCAATAAGCAGTGAGTTTGAATATTTTTCATATGTTTATTTGCTATTTCTACTTCTTTGTCTGAGAAATGTCTGTTCATGTCAGATGCCCATGTTTGGATTGGGTCTTTAAATTTGGGAGGTCTGATTTTTGTTGTTGTTGTTGTTGTTTGTTGTTTTTTTTTAGTTATTTATATATTCTAGATAGTAGACCTTTGTCTGAGGAAGAGCTGGTGAAAAATTTTTCCCATATTGTGTGCTGCCTCTTCACAATGTTGCTGGTTTCTCTTGCTGTGTAGAAGCTTTTTAACATCCCACTTGTTGACTCTGCTAGTTCATGTGCAATTGAGAAGCTCTCTTCATAAAATCTTTTCCTTACAGAAACACTAAACCAGCTGGAAGAGAGGTTAGGTAGAACTCTTGAAAATATTGGTGTCTCTCTCTCTCTCTCTCTCTCTCTCTCCCTTTTTAAATAAAAATATACGCTTAGTTTTGATGTTTTGGAAATACTCTTTTTTCATCTCTCTTTTTGCCATTTTGTTTTCACACTTTATTTATCGTAATAGTTTTAATAGTAGTTGTTCTCTTACTGTAAGTTTATTCATATTTCATGAAGTAGAAGACAGTTGTTTAAAATATGTTTGAATACAAGTAAATATTTTCTGTGTTATATTTTTCATTTATGCATACAATTAGCATTATGGTAAAAAATAAAGCACCACCATTGAAAGTCTTGCCTTCAGCAGTGTTAAACTGAAGCTAGTGTGAAGAATGATTTTGCATTGCATTTGGCTCGATAATAGGTGTGGTTTAAATAGTTGAAAATTTGACCAGAGTATACAGAGATAAACCACAAATATTCTTTTGAAATGCTGTTGGTGAATTAAAAATCCTGTTGGTAGCTTATAAATGTAAAACAAAAACTTTCATTCCATTAGCAATTCTCTTAGCATTTGTTTAGAGTGTTCTACTTTATCTTTGTAAGGTGCTTAACATTTTAATTTAGTTTTTATACTTCTCATTTTATAGAAAATCTACCTTTTAAGAAACTTGAGGAAACTGAGTAGAAACTTAAAATAAATAAATAGAATAGGCCAATTTCACACTAAGAAAGGTAGCCTTGCAAGAAGAAATTGCCAAAAGATAACTAGATACTATGAATGTGACCATAATGTAAATCTAAAATGTATGAATAAACTTAAAAGAATAACTAGGTACTAAAGCATTTGGAATTCCTTTCTTAGGCATATTTCTAAGTCACTGTGTTCCAAATTTCCTTTCTCTTTTCTTGTCCTCTACTTTTCTAGAAGGCAATATTGTCCATGCATGTGAGCTAATGCTAACATGATCTCTTTAGATATTAAGGAAAATGCTTTAAAATTGGCAATAATGAAAAGCATTCCAGGCTTTTCTGTTCCCTCTCTCCTTTCCAGATGCTTAATTCCTTCCTTCTCCCCAACACACGAAGTGTTCCTGCTGCAAGGCTACTTGCTTGTTTTCCACCTTGACATGTCTCTGGGCCTTCTATTCTCTTAACCACAATTGCCCATATTGGACGGCCTAGCGGCCAACATTTCCTTGAAAGATTTTATCAACTTCTCCAATAGCCACTTGTACATTATTTCTCTTAATACCTTTCTCTGCATTATTCTTGGTATTTATTTGAATACTTATTTGTGTAGTTCATTTTCAGTAGACTCTCAGCTCCTTGGCAAAAGGAACAGTAACTCATTCATTTTTGAAACCTCAGTTCCAGAGTGTCTTGCAAATTGAAGGTACAGGATATATTTGAGGAGGTCATGGAAACAGAGATGAAGGAAGCAAGAATGACTTTATCTTATTTCTGTGCTTATTTAGATTGCTTAGCTTGGATTTCTGTTTAAAAGCACATTTCTCTGAAATGTAAGCCAAAAATAGTCATAATAATCATTTTTTCCTATGTTTTATTTAACATTTTTCTGTCCATAGTTTATGCTGAAAAATAACGTAACTAGTGATTCTAAGAAACATTACCAGCAAATCCACTGATTTTGTTTAGTTTGTTATTATAAATATGTATATTTTAATGGTTGTCATGGAAATGTATTATGTAGAAGAATTTTCTTATCAATTGTATTTCCTAGGGATGAAAAAGGCATTTGATGATGTTTATGAGGTGAGTGAAGCCTATTTGGGCCGCTTTGCAAATGCCACTGGATATGGTCCATGCTAACTCTTTATATACACCTTTAGTGCTATTGATTACAAATTTCCCTTCAGCTAAGAACTTTGGTTTGAGAAATAAAATTATTATCCTAGTTAACTTCGAAGAGAGGTTTACAAAATCCAGTTCCATGACATAAAACATCTTCTTTTCATTTTTCTGGTTCTTTAATTTTAGCAAATTAACCATAAGACAAAATCCTCAGTATTCATTTCCACAGGACTCATTTGAACCAGCTTCAGTTGGCCACGATATCATCTAGAGTGTTTAATATTGGGCCAAAAATTAGGTTGGCTTCATGGTTTGGACTGTGCGATACCTGTAGAATAAGAGAGTAAATTGAAAGCAGAGACAGACAGACGGACAGATTCAGAGAGGAAGAAAGACACACACACAGAGGAGGGAGAGAGGCAGAGGGGAAAGGAAAGACAAAGACAGAGACGGAGCATTGAAAAAGAGAGGGAGAGGGAGAGAGAGAGAGATGCATGTGAATTGAGGCGAAACATTTGTTAGAATTGGAGGAGAGGGAAGCAATACTTGTTGGTTTAGCAGGCCCTCAAGTTTTATCACTGAATGTCTCAGGGTTTCTCTTCATTCAGCACTAAGCTAATGAATAGCAGCAGTTGAGAAATTTGTCAGACCTGGTGGTTATATCAGGAGTTATATAGGAAAATAGTAATGAACCCTAAGAAAATAAATAAAGATAAGTTCAGGAAACATAACTGAGACTGCTGCACTAGTACAAATTGAATAATAAAATTCCTAGTCATATTTTGCCGTAAATAGAGGTTTGGGAATTTGTCATTCACCTTATTTAAAATTCAGAAATATTAAAGGTACAGGTTTCTCTCATTATAGAAATAATAGAATTCCAGCTATTACTGGGTTGGGGTCACTTAAATGGCCATAGCATGCATTATATCAATAAGTGGAACATCTGTATGAAATGTCCACCTACTGATCTGCTATCCCCACTCCATGCGCATTTCAGTGAACTGCACTTCGTCATTTTAAGACTTCTTCTAAGGAAGCCTCATCTAGATTAACATTTTAAGCACAAATACTTTTAGGCATTAAAACTCTGACACTAAATGAAATTGCATTGTCTTGTTTACCCTTGTTGATTAATAAGCAATCTGTTAACTGTTAGAACAGTTCAATTGTAGCAGTAGAAGGAGATTAGTAATTCAGTGATGTTTGTGGATGTAATCACCATTTCTCCTGAAGGCTTTGAATTAGAATATCACTTACACATTCTCCTTAGGCAAAGAAAGGGCATAATATTTTTAGACATGTGTACCCACTATTTTGCTTGAATTGTTCAGCTTAGGGTCACTGCAGCAATACAAATGCTTCTGGAGACAAAAATGCTATTTTGATGCATGTATATCCTTCTTAAATAGTGTGAATGTCTATTAAAAGCAGCACAGCAACCAAAAAAAGTAACTTAATTTCTGTTTTCTAAACATTATTGCTTTGTTAATCAAACTTTGAAAGAGAAATGTTGCTTATCTTTTTTCAAATAATGGATTTTATATATAAAATCCTTTGCATTCTTATTTAATTTATTCTCAACCAGTAAAAAAATTAACTTTTAGCCTCTAAAAAAATCTAGGAATAAATTTGGAAATTTTCTGTTTTCTTTTAGAGGATTTTTCTATCTTTTATATTTCCTTTAAATTTGAATCAAAGCATGCCAACCTATTTGGCATTCATATGACCTAAATGGGTTATTTCATTAGGTTAGGAACTGTTAATTATGTTGGTATCTAGAGATAGTGAAAAAGACAAGAGGAAAAAGACAGTTAAATTCTCTAGCATTATTTAGCTATCTATAAGAGGCCTCCAACCTAAAGACTTCATCTTGTCCTATTTTTCATATCTGAGCTTGTCGCTACAACTCAAAATTTTAATGGAAAGTGTTTTAGTTTTTAGGGAACTCTGCCCGGTAACCATTCTTATGTCAGTCTGTCTCTGTGTTGCAGTCCCTCTGCCGTGAAATCAAGCAGCGACGTAGAGGAGTAGCCTCCATTCTTCGATTATGCCAGCATCTTCTGGATGACCGAGAGACCTGCAATCTGAACGCAGACCACCAGCCCATGCAGCTGATCATTGTAAATCTTGAAAGAAGGTGGGAAGCCATTGTCATGCAAGCTGTCCAGTGGCAAACACGGCTACAAAAGAAAATGGGAAAAGAATCTGTGAGTGATTTTTTTTTAAGTATAATGGATTTTTTTTTTTCTGGACAAAAATAAATTCTTGGAGAGCTTGAAAAATGTGTTCACTTACAAGGATTTTTGGTAACTAAATGAGTAAATAATCACTATATGAAACCCTATTTCTCATAAAATAGAACTGAAATGCTTTTCAGTGTATCTCATTTTTAAAGAATTTTCCCTTTATTATAGTTTATTCATAGGATAGAGTGCAGGTACTTAACAGTGGCCAAATTGTTTCTCTCATTGTCTTTTTTTAAAATCACACGTGGATTTAACTTAACCTTACCACCTATACCATTAATTCATTTAATCATTGTTTCATCATACTATTTATTAATCATACATTACTCCATGAATATTTTCCTAGAAAGTGATTTAATACTCTTGAAGTATATAGATACTTCAAGTACTTGGTAGTATATGGATAATACACTTGAAGTATATGGATAATGCAGTGAAATAATATGTATTGTTTTTGTATTCATTGTTGTGATGCTTTAACAATAAATTTGTATACAAATCTCCCATTGTTCCTGCTTGGAGCTCCTTCCGATAGAATGCTGAGAACTGGTCAGTTTATTCTTAGAGTGTTAATGCACCCCACATGGTGGGAGTAGTGATTCTTTTTAAGAACTATCCAAATTGAGTGCAGGTTTAAGATATTGCTTGAAGAAAGAGCTATAAAAGACTAAAACGTGTTTTATTATAATATAAAATGTATATTAGTTCAGAAAACCTTCAAATTTTTTTCTTTCTTCTTTTTATTAATGTGTGTTAGTATTATAGAATAGTGATGTTCATTTTGGGCAATTGATATATATATATA